GAAGCTGGGTTGCTCTGACCTCTGAGCTCTAACATGTGTTTGTTTTGGCTCTCTCGCCGAAACCTGCAGTATACAAATTGGCACTTGTAAAATTGTTCAGATAAATCAAAATTGGTACAGGGAAAAAAAGTTTCAAACTGTTTCTTTTGGGATTCTTTGCCATGCTATTTTTGATGTGTGTTTTCAGAGGAGTGTTTGTGTGGCAGCAGGCAGTTTGTTGCTTGAAGAAAGCTAAAATATTCTAGGAAGTCAGGCGAGCTGAATTTAGATCTTGCACGGTGCCAAAACTAATACAGCCTGCGAGTGAGTGAGAGTGACTTTGTGCAGTAAATGTCAGTCACCCGCGGCTTTGTCTTACATTTTCATATGAGCCTTTAAAGAAGAAAAACACAAACAAAACCCCAGAAAATGTGGTAGCTGCTTACATCCAGCCGAGTCGCGGCACCGCCAGCCCCCGGCGCCCTGCTCCTGGCTGGGTGCTCGGGGTGGGCGCCCTGGGCTGGGCCGGCCTGCAGTGCCCTCTGGGGGCTGCTACAGAAACATCTGCTGTCAGAGATTGAAATCATAATTTTCCGGTGTGACAGACAAGAGGTAATCTGTGCGGGTTGTATTTCCAGACTTGTGTCCTATGGATAGCTCACGGAGCGTGGATGCTGGGTGCTGGCGGTGAGCGTCACCGGTGGGACCCGGACTTGGAGCCGCAGCAGGGTTACGCACCGGCAGCAGTGCACGTAGGACTCTGTTAACTCCGTGCCCCTGGGACTCCTAACGTTTTAGCACATCTCAGGTTTTTAAGAGACTTCGTACCGCTCCAAACACGGGGATCCCAGAGGCAGCAACTGCAGTGGCCCCTGCCTGACTCTTTGCGCTGCTAAATGAAGCCAGAACAAATGAGGCTCTGAAAAGGAGGAGAAAAATTTGACACCTGGCCTCCAGGAAACATTGGTGGATTTTGATGAGGAGCGGTAGGGGGGAAGGGAAAAAAAAACTCCGGTTGAGTGCAGTTAAATATACGGTGTGCTAAGTGTGAATAAATTGTGACTATTTTGAACAAGTTCATATACTGCGTGGCTGGCTCGAGCACAAAGGGAAAGACAACAGCCACAACGTGCTGCCTTCTCCAAGGGTAACCTGGAGGCCGGCATCCCGGGCTGCTGCTGCTGCACAGCAGTGGTCAGCTTTCATTATTCATACAAGTTGCAGGGTTTTTTTTTACGTGTAATCCTTTTTTTTTTATTTTTTTTTCTTTTGAATTTGTATCAGTGCCTTGTGAGTGAGGAATGTTTCGGACAGCCTTACTTTTCAGTGCGATTCCTTCTCCTCATTGTTCACGAAGGGTTTCTTTGTGCAGTACACTGAGGTTACAAGTTCCTTGCTAAAGCCCCATTTCAGGCCGATTTTAAGAGGACACTCTTAACACTCCCTCCTTGCTGTAACACAGGCTTTTGTGGGAAGATAACTGCTTCAGCTATCCACCTGGAGTCCCCGCTGTATCCCAGCAGAGTGCCCTTACTGCAACATCTCGGCACTGGGCTTGGGGACAGGGTTTCTTCCCAGCCTGGAAACTGCATCCAAGTAAATGGACTCTTTGCTGTAAAGCAGACTGAAATGCAGACCTCAACTGCTAGTGACTAAAAATCACGATTATCTAGCTTAACAGAAGGCAAGTGAAATGAATTAGGAGCCTCAGGGTAGGCGCGTGCAGTCCCAGTCAGCGTCGTTCAGTGACCTCGAATGGCTCTGGCGGGTCTCTTACTGTGGAGGTGGCCCCAAAGCCCGTCAGGGCACTCCAGGGGGAAGTTGTCTCTTGCACTTTGTACAGAAAGTGAGAATCTGGTTTTCAGCTGGCTGCTAGCACTGCTTGTCCAGTTGTACTCACTGTTTACAAGACGTGAATGCGAATTTAACGGCTGCTGTCTTGTTTTAGCAGGTGGTGTTCCTTAGGGTGCGTTCGAGTTTAAACTGTAAGGCAAGGTTCCCAAAAAACCATTGCTGCTTTTGTTTTGGTAAGAAAAGCACGGTGCGACCCACAGTGGCAGTCACCCTCTCGTTAAGTTACAGAGATACGTGTCGGTGATTACACCTTGAAATTCGGCAGGTCTCTGTCTTCACATGGGGCTTTTGTTGCATCCCTCCCGGCGGTCGCGTTGTGATTCATGGTGCTGGTAACGAACATGTGGGGCTGTTACAGCACTGCCCGCATTACAGGCTTAACCCCGTCACCGTGCAGCCTGCATTGCTCTTCTCTTCCTGTACAATAGCTCCCTCTGCTTGAAACCAGCAGTGAAATTATAACCTTTGTTTTGTATTTGCCTGATCAATGGATTTTGATACAGTTCCCTTTCTTGAGCAGATTTCTTTTGCTGCTTTTTTTTGAAGCAGTTCTGACACCTGACTTAGGCTCTGCATGAGATGTTGCACGGTGGTGCTGCTCACCCTGCTTCTCTCAGCCCTTTACTGTGCAGCTGCGTGTGCTTGCAGGAACTCTTACTGTTCTCCCTGTTAGCATCAGGACTACAGTTGGCTACTTTTACAGCTAGACGAAATCTTACCAACACAAGCTGATTTATTGATGCCAAAATATTTTGATTTTGGTGAAAACTTGCATGGAAGCAGGACTGTTTGTCATCAGAAAAGGGGTGGCTCAGCCACTGGCCTTAAATATCTGTATAGGAGAAGCTAATGGTGGGATTCCCATGTCCTACTTCAGCGATTCTGTCTGGAACCAAAAGGAGAGAAGCTTTGGATCAGGTAGAGCAGGGATTTGAGCCTGGTTCTCTACGTTCTCAGCCAGTGCCATAATTACCGGGCCAGCCATTCACTTGCAAACCTTTGTCAGCTTATCTGCATCAGTAAGGATGAGTGCTGGTTTTGTTTTGTTCAGGTTTTTTTAATCAATATAGCCAAGGCAGCGAAAGTCATAGGAGGAAAGCTGTTGTGTCAGCAAAGGTGCAGCTTTGCTGAGAGAGCGTTCACCCATTTAGGGAGCCAGCATAAACCTTGCTTGCCATGGCAAGATGAGCCAATGATAAGGAAACTTGCTGGTTTGGCTCTATCAGCAAAGCCTTCCTAGTGCAAGCGGTGCCCTCCTCGCTTCAAAACGGCTGTCCTAACGTGATCCTGGTTTTGCAAAGAAGTCCAAAAGGTTATTTATGCATTGGAGCAAAAACAAAAATGGAAAACCTCTCAAGAGTCTGTGTCAAATGGAGCATTTCTTCTGTGCTCAGCCGTCTTCAGGGTGGTTGGGCACATGGGTTTCTTGGTAAGGCCAGGCAAAGCTGCCTCTGGACACAAAGGGCAGCAGTAACTTTACATTTTCAAAATTCAGATCTTTTAAAGCAAACTTTCATATTGTTTTTACTTCTTGGAACCCTTTTGTACATTTTCGGACTTTGTGCATTTGTTGGGGTTTATTTTTTGCCTTCTAGTAATTCCCAAAGTGTACACACTGTGAATAGCTTGGCGTTTGAAACACATGAAATCCTTTCCACCCTGTGTTGTACAAGGTACAACCTGTCGGACAGCCGAGCAAACTGGCACACGTTCAGTGGGCAGAACAGCGATGTGCAGCAGAGAGAAGTTCCTAGGCTTGGTTTTCGGGGTATGATGCTGGTAAGGAAGCCTCTTCCCTACGATGCTGACACCCAGTGTTTGTGAAGTTTATAAAATGATGGGGTTAAGCAGTAGAACAGCAGAGAAGTATTACTAGCACGTATTACTTGAATTCAGCCTCAGCGTGGCTCTTCCTGCTGAACTCTAACTTCACTCCTCTGATTTCAGCCACTTTGCAGATATTCTGTTCATTGCCTCATATGTTTGTACATACCTTAAAAAAAAAAGTTCTCTTGGAAAGCGGTGTATGGTTGTATAAAAATAAGGAGTGAAAAAAAGCATTCCTGTTTTCAAATTAACACTGAGGTGTGAATTCATGGTGGTCTTTCTGATTGGGATTCTGCAGTGTTTGGTCCCTCCCATGCCCTGAATACTGTGCAGGTCCTGAGGGAATAATAGTACGTGGTTATGTTTTTGAAGACACAGTGAATACAAGGAACGTTTCTGAACTTTGTGAGCACTCAGGGGGAGGAGAAAGAGGATTTCTGATCTTAAAAAAAAAAAAAAAAAAAAAGACTTCTGAGTGTCTTTCTGCCATATTGTAATAATTTTTGATTGCTTCATTGGATGGAGGATGAATTTTTAAACAGCTGGATGTGTGATAGAAATGACATAATTATGATAGAATTAACAATGCAAAGGTAAATACTGGAAAAAAAATGTGATGAAGTGACTCTTTTCAACAGTTTGGTCTCTCCAATGTATATGATGTTGTCTACTTCATATTTCTCTGTCTTCATCACTGCAGTGCTTTGTGTCCTCAGTAATGAGCTTAGTTGCTTTTCTGGTGCTGATCCTCTCCTCTTTCTTAAGGAAGCTTCATGAGTGGAGAAAATTTCTGTAAGTTGTCCTGCAGATTTCACAAAGCACCAATACTGCAGTAGTTCAGTGAATATATAGTGCTGATTCCTGTATGTTGTAGTTTTAATTCTTAAATTTAATAAATTAATATTTTAAATAAAGTTTCTAATCTTGTAGTGATTTTTAAAACCATTTTTGCTGCTATGAAGCTGTCGAATAGCAAGCAGAATGGTTATTTTATGTAACGCTAGCGCATAGCAGGCTGGATGGAGGGCTGTGGAAGAGTGCCAGTGTTGTTTTTCTATTTGCAGGTTGGCCTGGCTGTTTCTCCGTATGTTAGAGGAGGGCAGGCAGGGCATCAGTCAGCTTCAGAATTAAAAATTTCTTAATGGATTAGGCAAGTGACAGAATATCTCCCTACTGCAAACCTTCCTTTTTGCAATCTGCAAGCCATGACTATTAGTGGACAATCCTTTTTAATGTCTTAGCAAACTTCTGTTGAGTAGAATAAGATGAGGAACATGATTAACTGCTTTTTATCTATTCAGAATAACATTGCCATTTTGGGGATTTTTTTTTTTTTCCAGGATCCCTTAGATCCAACAAGAACAGCCATTGTGATTAGCTCTTTGGTGGCAGGTGGAGTAGCTGAACGTGGTGGCGAGCTTTTACCGGGGGACCGTTTGGTCTTTGTCAATGAGAAATATTTGGACAGCGCAACTTTGGCAGAGGCAGTGGAAGTATTGAAATCTGTACCTCCAGGAAGAGTTTCTCTTGGAATCTGCAAACCTTTGGTGGTAAGGACTGCATTTTTTTTTCTGTCTCATTCTGTGACATGTAGATCAGGTTGCTGTATTTTGGGGGAGAAATCCATATGCATGTGGAAAGCTGCTAATTTGCCGTGTGTGCACCTCGGATATGTGTTGGGTAGCTGGCAAATGGGCAGCTCTAAGGCCTAAAGGCCTGATGAGAAAACTGGTGTTTTCAAACTCTGTCTGAAAGACCATCCAAATGGAATCAGAAGGGCAAACTTGGGTGTGAACTGGCCTTATGTGTAGGTGTAATGTGGTTCAAGCAATTTGACAAATTAATTAAATATGTGCTGAAGTCCATTTCACTCTGAGACACTGCTAAGTCCTTGCTTGAGCTCCAGTTGCATCAAAGAAATTTAATCTGTTTGAAGTCCAGACTGTAAATTCAAGTAGAATTTCCTTTTTTCTGGAATCGGGGCTTTGGAATAGGCAGTAGTTTACTTGTGAGCACTGCAGTGTTGTTGATCGAGGGCAAGCAGGTAAAATTAATTAAAGTAAAGCACAATCCAATAGAAAGCGCTTGCAGCTCAAACTGGTAGCAGAGGGGGGGAATAAGAATGTAGGATGGCTGTTAAATAAATTCTTTCCTTTTCTTTAAAAAAAATAAAAAAATAGTGCTATGTCATTGTTTTTATCTGTCTTTCCTCTGCATTTTTTAGCAGTATATGTACTAATATCTTGAAAAGAACAGCTTTTATTCTGTCTTCTCCAGTGGATGACTTTCCTTTTTATCATTCAGTAATTTTTTTCGCCCTCTTTCCTAATAGCTGTTTTTCCTTCTTCCCTTTTGTTTGAAAAATGTGAGCTTTTAGTTCTTTGTTTTGTTTTTCTGACTTACCATGTTTGATCACCTTTCTTAGGGAGAAAACAAAGAGGAACAGAACATGCACGGTGTCGATACCAGAAGCATTAAACCCAGCCCTGGATCTCCAGAGCCAACAGATAATTTCTCAATAATACTTGAAGCACCACAGGTATCTGGTTATTCTTTTGGTTCAGCTGAAGTTTATAGGACAGGAAATAATGTTTTAAAGTCAGAAGACAGCGTGCCCTTCAGATAAGATCATAGATTTCAGTATTGGATATGCTTTGGGTTAGTATCCCTATAGATTCTAAGAGCTAACTGTATCCTAACTGTACTGTGAACACCAGGCATATGTGTTGTACTTACCAGTGCAGTTCCTGGACTGCCCTATCAAATTTACTCTCTGATTAAAATACCTTGGGATACCTTGGATATGAAAGAGGAATGGTATATTACTGGTAGTCATAAGTAGTTGGTTCCGCTTTGTTGGGAATGTAAGGTACGGGATGGAACATTTTGTATGATTATGAAGCAAAACAAAGAATTAGTCTGCTGTACAAGGCAAGCTAGAGATCTCTCCTTCATAGACTTCCTGTGTGGTCTTGAGTAATTTCTTTAGTCTCTTTTTCAGATTATTTTTTTTTCTGAGAAATAACTTGATTGCAGGAGGATGAAGCACTAAATACAGCAAGAGAAACTCAGATCCCAGTCATAGGCAATTGTATTGCAGTACTGACTTGTAGAGAGCGAGAGAGATTTTGTTGTTTGTTTTCAAATGCTCCACAAACGTGAATTAATTTACGATGTTAAATGCATTCCTTTTTATGCATTCTTTTTAGACTTCTAGAAATTCTAGGTTTTCATACTGTTAAACCTGTCTACCTCTCTGTGGAACACAAACCTATCTTTAATGCTGAAATTATGTATTAGGAACAATCAAAAGGAGCACTATTATGGGGTAGATGTAGATGTACTAGTGTAGAAATTATCTTGGACATGTTACTGATATTCATGAGGCAAAATGGCATTTATTGTTTACAAGGTGCATAGGAAGGGTTCCTGGCAGAGCAATGAGTCCTGGGCCAAGCTCAGATTGTTTCCCTACTTCCAAATCAAGCTAATGTTATTAAGCATCCTTACATAGAGTATTGCATCTCAGTCCTGTTGATTATAGCTTGTACAGAATACAAGTGGGGGTATTTGCTAGTGTTTGGTTTTACTTTATGTATGACAGAATCGATGGTAGCATGGAGATGCGTTATAAAAATGCCATTTATTACCTTATCTGCTCGTATGAGAGCCAAGAGTGGTGTGCCATGATGGCTTGTGCTCTGACGTTCTAGCATAGTGCCAACGAAGCTGACTCAAAACAAAAATCTTAAACATTTTACACACTCCAACAGTAGACTTTACAATTATGCTAGCAAGATTCCCTGTTCGGTTGGTGGAGCCTGGTGCTTCAGTGTGTGGTTATACATAGATGCAGAGCTTAGGGATATGGTTTAGTGGAGGACTGTTAGTGTTAGGTCAGAGGTTGGACTCGATGATCCTGAGGTCTCTTCCAACCTAGAAATTCTGTGATTCTGTAGCTGCGTGCTGGATCAGGAGATGGCAATACAAATCTCTGTCTCGTTTCTGAGCAAAGTCAACTGTTTTATATTATGTTGGAAGTTGGTGCCTCTTGCAAGACCACAGTGTTCGGGGAACGATGCTGTGGAAGTAAAAGAAAAAGAAGTAATGTTGAAGAGAATCAGAATCTCTTCAGATCGGGTATTTAGTGAGATCAAGGTACACAGGGCAAAAAGGAACACTTAATGCCTATGAATACAGAGTAATTTTTAGACTACTAATGTGGTGCAATTGTGCCAGCTAGCATTACTGTGTTGGTTCATTACGCTCTTGTCTGTTTCTTCCTTTCTTTCCTGACTCTCACTTGAATTATGAGCACTTTTTGGCAGTGTCTGAGGCTTTGGTTTTGGTTTTGGTTTTGTTGCACCTTGCTCTATGGTTTGAACTCAGAAAACAGTTCTCTACTGTTTTAAACAGCAAATTACTTATTAGAGTGTCTTTTTTTTTTTTTTCTTTGAGTATATGGTCATCTGTCCTCATCAGCTAACTATCAGGCTCTTCTTGTATTTAACTGCTGCGGTGGTTTTGTAAGAAATATGTGTGCGTCCACAGAGCGATGACAATAATTCGAGCCACAAAGACACTTTAGCTGGATTTGTGTGCTTTTTCCTGGAGTTTTTAGTAAAATTTAATAATCCTCATTCCCTAACTTGAGTCTAGATTGGTTGGCTGATTGATATTGCTGCAGCAATATCTGAGCTGTCCAACTTACATTTCGTTATATTTAAAGGAAATTGCAATGCCTACTTTTGCTATTAAAATCATAAGTCAGAGAGTGCATTTTCTTTGAGAAAAAATGCATAAGGTGGAAGATTTTCACTTTAAAAATCAGGATGTAATTTTCATACGGTTCTAACATAAAACAGCTTTAAAAGAGTTAGCAAGAAACGTAATGTAAAAATCTATATTCCTGTAATGTTTTATGCAGGGCTTCAGAGATGAAACACCTTTTAAAGAAGAAGCTGTTGATGAACCGATTTTGGACTTGGGAAGGTCATTCCAGCTTTCTAAAAATGACAATGAGTACGAGAAGGAGTCCTGGGAGATGCGTGAATTTTGGAAACCCAGAACAGAGGACGTGGATGAGGAACGGGAGATGTTGGTGGACGATGTGTATGAAGATCATTTAGACTTCCTGAAATACAATGCATCGCATCAGCAGGAAGCAGGCTCAGGGAAGAACCTCAGTACAGAACAATGGGCTGAGAAACTTGAGACAGATAAACCACAAGACTTCAGATCTAGTGTTAACTTAAGTCCAGAGCAGTCCCTGGAATACCCATTCAGTAAGGAGCAAATGGTGAGTAGTGCTGTGCGGGGCTCGGTGCTGTGCCCTGACTGCGAGGCCTGTACACCTCAAGGAAAATTCCAGATCTGAACTCTGTAAGGAGTCTGTCTTGTGTTTTAATTACTAGATGAGATCTGGGTACCTCTAGTAGACGCCATCTATCATTTTGTGTACCGTGGAAGCTTCTGTTGTGTTCCTCAGTGTCTGTACACTGACCTGCTTGAATGAGGCACACGCTCTGGTTAGCCTATTTGCAGGCATCCTACTTGGGTCTTCTTTCCCATCTCTGACACCTGGGCTCACTTCTTTTCTGTAAGCTCTGCTAATTTGATGCATTTCAGTAACAGCTGGAGTCAGGTTATGGTTTTAGTAGGCCAGGCTCTTCAGCAGCGATGTCAGTGAAAGGAACTCCATCTTTTCCTCATTAGTTGTAGACCCAATCAGTTCTTTGAGCTAGATAGTAATGGAGTTGAGTGAAAAATGATATGGCAGAAGCAATGGTAAAAAGATACCTTTTATATCTACTTCTGGTAGATAAAGGAGTAGAAGGAGTCAAAGTTTTGGATAAATTGCAAAACTCATAAGACTACTTCAAGTATTCTTGAGAATATCTTTTCTGAGTTGTCGTTCATTCACTCGCTAATGAAAAAAGTGATAACCTCAGTCTTCCGTGCGCCAGCTTCTAAGCTCTATGCTGTTATAGGAAAAAAACTAAAGTGGAAAAGGATTTAATATCACAGCAACAGAGCACTTTCTGACTGTCTTCTTATGTGCTATGTACATAAACAGGCTAACTTTGTAGCTTCTACTGGCAGTTTTATACCACAGTGCACAATGTTCGGTCTATACATTTGTCACTAAAAACAACAAACAAACAAGAAGTAAACAACTTCCTGCCTGGATTACAGGCAGGTAGAAAGAAGCAATTGCTTATATTGCAATAGTGTAATATGTTTTTCACACCTTTCCTTAATATAGTGTCTAGATGAATGGTTAGTATTTCGTAGATATCTGAATAAGGAAATATGAATGTAGTTGAGGAAATGTGAACGTTTGCTGTAAAATCAATGCTCACTGTTAAATATCTCCATATAAGTTGCTGCTATTGCTTTCTAACTTTAATTACTTTTTTCTCCTCTGTGAAGTACGAAGAAAATGCTAGCGTAAGTTCGCTGTCTTCTGGAACTACAGCACACAGCAGCTATCAAAAAGGCAGATTGGATACTGAAGCTACCCAGTCAGGAACAGAAAAACAGATGGATTTAGGTTCGTAAAAAGTTTTTTTATTTGTTGTAATTTTGTGTTTAGAAATTTAACTTTTATACCAAAGCACAAACTTGTTTTTAGTCTTTCAAATGATGAAATATTCAAATGAAGAGCTCTGCAGGCTCAAGGCAGTCTGGCTTTTAATAGGCTGCAGCTTCGTTTTCTTGCTGCTTCTTCAAATGTTTACCTACAGTTGTCACAAGTAATATTGAAAGTGGCTGCAGCTTTGTCCTGTCTGCAAAGAATCACTTTCCTCTGTCTAGCTACATCCCCAGGAGGACTCCAGGCTTGAGCTATTTTGTTTACGCATGTAATTTCTGTCAGGAATTTGTCTCAGTTACTGTTGACTGCTGATTCTATGGATCTTCACACCTAACAATAATAATAATGATAGATGTGGCAGGCTTCAGAGGTAACTTTGCCACAACCAGCACATGCAGATGAACTCTAAGGCGCGTGATTGCATCTTGGTTTTGTAATCTGTACTCAGGAGCAAAGTTTCTCCTTGTCAGATGGCTGGAGACCTTGTACTCAGCAACAGCTCTGAATATAGTTTGTAGTTGAATGGAGCCTGCTCTTTGGGGGAGATTTTTCTGGAGCAGGTCGTGGGCCTGTTTGCAGTATGAGAAGCTGTAGCAACCTTTTTAGTTTCCCAACAGCCCAACAAACTGTGAGTCTGATCTATTTTTTTCTGATGGCTTCATGTGCGTTGGAATGGACATTAAAATATGCCTTTCCAGTCTCCATACTGTGTCTCAAATGAGTGAGGTGGACAACCCTACATATGAGGATTTTCCCCTATCGGGTTTACATGGGTTCTCCAGACTCTTGCTGGCCAAACTGTTACCTTCTCCAGACTGCCACAGAGCAGCAGTGAGGAACTCAGGAAATCTGAGTGGTAATGGATGCACTGAAATGAATTAAGTGATTTTTTGGGGTGAAAATTTCAGCAAGCATTTTCTTCAGATTTATTCTGGATTGCTGCTGTTTCATTACATCAGTATGTATGATTTGAGGTACCTCTTCAAGGCCAAATTAATTTTCTTTTCTCCCTCACCCCCCCCAGTCAGTGGTTAGGATTTGGTGTGTCAACAGCAAACTAATTTATCAGCCTGCCTGAGAAAGCACTCACTGGGTGAAAGGAGGTACTTTCCTTCCTTTGTCACCTGCATCATATACAGCAGGAGCTGTGTTAACCACAATGGCAGACTAATGACTCTGGCAAGGAGCTCTGGTGGTTTAATTAATGTTGATATTTATGGCACCAAATTGACATCAGTCATCCGTGCTGGAGCAGGGCTTTGCAGTGCTCTCCCTGCATGAAGGATGGGTTCACTATTCCTAATCGTGTTTTTGTAAGAAACATCTGTCACATAAGTTGTACCTAAGCATGTCTCAGTTCCACAAAGATCTGGCATTTCCTGTTATTGCCTTACAGAAGGCACATCAGAAGCCAGCTGCTATAAAAAAGAGTTTAGTGTGGTTAAAACTTTCTTCAAAATAAATGTTTTGTGTTGTGTTCTGTATCACTGAGTCTCTTGATCATCACGCACCATCCACATTTGGAACATGGTGAGCTAAGGAGTTTATTTCTGAAGGTGACAAGAAGATGCAGAGACAGAGGAAGCAAAAGTTTACATCTACACCTTTACTTCTTCAGGTACGAAGCTTTGGGTCGACTCTAAAGTAACTGAGCTTGCCGTTGACCTAGAAGATATTGAAAAGGAAGAACTAAAAGGGGAGGATTTCATTTTTTCCAGCAACCAGCAATCTGGGAGAGTTACCACATTAGCTCAACCTAGAAGAGCATCATACAGGTATGGAGAAACACTTCTGTTTTCAGATGATTTTCACTTAATACTCATAACTTTTTTCCTTCTTTGCTTAATTGACTAATTGTTGAAATCTTTGTGCTGCTCTGACGTGTACTTTGGTAGGGGCCAGTTCTGTGACTTACAACCTTGCTGAATTCTTACTTCCCGTGTTTCTTCCTGAGTACTGGGCCACCTAACCCACAGAGAGAAGAATCCAGAACAGATGTGACTTGGAGAAAAGGGATGTAGCTTGCACTAGCAGCATTGGTCTTTACTTCTTAAAGAGTTTCCCTTTAGTTCCTTGCCATATCTCCATCTTCTTGCTTTTTCTTTTCCTCTCTTCTTTAGGGAAGAGCAGTTCAGCTATGACCATCAGGCCTGTGCTGGAAAGGTTTAATCTTGCCGGTGCTGCTGGGAAGCCTTGAGCTGGCACTGGTCACAGACAGTTGCCACACCTTTAAATTGTCCCCTGCTTCCCCCACTAGTTTTGGGTGAGTGGGTCTACAGGACAACACTCAGGTCTACCAAAAATAAGTGCAAGCATGGATTGTTTCAACCTTTCTGTGAGGACATGCAATTTGATACTCCCATTCCTCTGCCATGAAGAGATGAGTCATATGTAGTATAAAAGTTTAATTATACCCTGTTCTGGGGTGCTTAATGGAACGCCCAGGATCTGTTCTCTCAGTTGCATCACACTAAGATTTCTGGTAAGCTAGACTGGCTTTATCATGTTTATATCCTTCTGTAAGTATCACAGCATATTAATCAGAAAGTAAATGTTAACTGCCTAAATAGCCATTCAGAATAAGGTACAGCAGTGGAAATGTATATATCGCAGAACAGCTAATAAATTTGGCCTGCCCATCATGTTTATTTCTGGTGCATTCCTGAAGTACATTTAAACCTAAATACAAAAATTCCTGTCTAGTCTGTTGACTGTGCACATTTGATTTAAACTGGACACTCTGAAAAGGCGTTGCTGTCACACTGCCAGATACAAAATATGCAAGGAATTGTGACCTGGCATAGTTGATGCTTTTTTTTTTTTTTTTTTTTTATTATTCCCTCTTCCCTCTGCCCCCAATTAGTGAACTGCCTGAGAGAGAAGAAGGAGAAGGAGAAGAAACTCCAAACTTCAGCCACTGGGGACCACCACGGACGTATGTTGATATGTTTACATTATTTTTCCCCATTTACCTTATGTCTTTATTTCTGAGCCTGATTATTTCTTATGTTTTTTTCTTTCTCTTCCCTCTTCTCTCAGTAACTCAGGGTACTTGTGTACCTTGGGCTTTCATAGATAACAGATGTTCAACAGAATTATACCTTCTATTTATAGATCTGACTTGGGAAAGCTTGGTGGGTTTATATTGTGGATGTTCTGCAAATTCATGTTCATTCAGTACCTACTAGGTGTGAACATGTGCACAATGCTGCTGTTTCCTTTTCCATGGGTTCTCTGCTAAACTTTGAGGCATAATCTGAATTGTCATCCAGCTCTCACCATGTTCTCATTGTATTGGTAACATTTTTAGGTAAATTGACTTTATGGTCCTAAGTACAGTATTAAACAAATTCTGCTTTAGCTGATGAATATGCAAATAATAGAAGCCAGTGTTCAGAAAGTTGCATGAAACTTTGTTTGTTTATTTTATCATTTGTTTAGCATATCACTTGCAGTTTTTGCCGTTTCCAGTCAATTTCCTTAAACTGAAGGAGGCTGAGTTTGTTCATTTGAAGACGTGGCTGTTTTACCCTGACTTTCTTTAAACTGAAAGCCTATTGGAAGCACAGTGGGCATGGACTGGCAACAGTTTTTTTTTCTTTTTGTGGGGTGAAGACTACTTGAGGGTAAAAAGCCACCTCTGCTGAGAGCATTCTTAGACTTCTGGCTTCATTCCCTTTGCTCTATTAAACAGAATTGAAAGACCAAAAGCTTACATTTATTTAACGCTTTGCATTTAGTAGCTTAAGAAACTGTTTCAAGCTGTTAGACTTCTGTGCATATTTTTTCAGTGTTGAGATCTTCAGAGACCCACACGTGTCTCTTGGAATCAGTATTGTTGGTGGACAAACCGTCATAAAGCGCCTGAAGAATGGAGAGGAACTTAAAGGGATCTTTATCAAACAAGTTTTGGAAGACAGCCCAGCAGGAAGAACGAGGGCTTTAAAAACTGGAGATAAAATACTTGAGGTAAATGCAGATAGACCTACCTTTTCAATTTAAGAAATAAAGTTTGTCTCTGCTTTGGGAGAATGGAGGGAAGAACAAAATACTGCCACCATTTATGTGAAGTATTGATGACAATGCATTTTGAAAACCAGAAAAATCTATATCCCTAGTGTCATCTTTTCTTTTTAAAACATCAAGCTGTGGAGATCTTTTAACATTCTTCTGCATATTTAAGAAAAGATAGCTATCTGATGGGGAAATGAGAAGGGGGAAAAAACCTTTTTATATAAATGAATAATAAGTAATAATTTATGCCCTGACTTGTTGGCCTAAATTACAAATATAGAAGTGCATAATGAAATTTGGGCTGTTATTTTGTCTGATAATTTGGGGTAGTTAACAGTCTGGTTAACCACAGTTTATGGGAAAATCCTGAGTATGGGAAGTGACTTAGGTGTGAATGGCATTATTGCCTTGGGGAGCCCAGATTCAGACGTATTCATTTGGAGAAAAATAAGTGAAAATCAACACAGGCAGAGATGACAGTCGGGAATGCCATTTTTTGTATGTGCTTCAGGGTTGTATGTGATGTTTTGAAAAATTGTTTCAAAACGGATTTAGTTCACAAACAAGTAGAATCTGAAAGAGCTGTACTATACCCAGCATTCTGCGAGAGTCTTACTCATTATGTTTTTGTCTAGAATTACTTTGTGAAACATATGGCCATCTTTATTATGAATAAATTCTAAGCAGTATGCTTTTCCTTGAAGTATCATGGAAAAAACTTTCAAAAATAATTTCTGTTGACTGATTTTGGTACCTTCCTCATATACACTAACCTGTGAATGTTTGTGGTCCCTTGTAAAGGCCCAGTGCAAAAGACAAGCTACCTAATGAAAATAAACAATATTTTTTAGGTTTCTGGGATAGACCTACAGAATGCCACACACGAGGAAGCAGTAGAAGCTATCAAGAATGCGGGAAATCCTGTTGTGTTCGTAGTTCAGAGTTTGTCTAACTTACCAAAAGTGAGTTTATTCCTATTTTTTATTCCAAAAATTAATAAATGTGTATTATGCATCTTCTTTCAAACTTGGATAAATTTCTTTTTGCAAGATCTGTCAATTTTTATGTCTATCCCTTCTGTCAGAGTTTCTGCTTATAGACCATATGATTACTTATCTGGCCCGATTCAAAACCATGTTCTTCTGATGTAAGTTGGGTAGAGATAAATTTGTTGACTAGGTGTTAATTCGGTTCTCCCATCTGTGCAATTGATTCTGGCCGTGTGCTTTCATTTGTTTGTATTTCATCATCTAAAAATATAGTCTGTTATCCAAATGAACAAAAGCGTGATGAAAAGTAGCCAGATTCCCTCTAGCAGCTCCATGTAAAATGTATCATCAGAGAAACCTCAAGCAGTTCTTTCAGAGCAAGTTAAATTTCAAGAGATGTCGGTGTCTCCTCATCTTCAAGGCTAAGGCAAGAAACCTCTTAAAGCCTGTCTAAGAAAAGCCACACAATTCTATACGCCTTGAAGTATATACAAAAAAAATAAATACAAGACTTCTATATACTTTTGATATCATATGAGCTATTACTTGTAATCTATGTGCCTGCCACCAGCTGTAATCAAACTACCCTAAATGTTTCCCCTTGTAAGAATAAAGAACAGCAGGGAGGAATATTAAGGAGTGGCTAAATGTTTTCTTTTATAATGTGTCTATGTGCATGGACACTGGTCTCTATTTTCTGACTCCCTGGGCAAACATATTTATCAGCTCTGAATAATTAACGACTGATATTTTAAGAACTGACTCCAAACTGAGGTTTATATCAAGTGTGTGCGTTCATATTGTTGACTTCAGAGTAATGCTTAATTGAATAGAGAGATGGGGCTAGGTATCAACCAGTGAGCACTAAAAAACCAGAGCATCTTTATAACTTCAGTAAAAGCATGTAACTCAAAACTGCACTGCAATGTACTTCTACATGGGACAAAATGAAGTGCAATGGATAGAGCTTTATTGGTGTCATTACCTTAGATGTTTGTTTTGCAACTGTAATGCTAATTGTATATACATTGTTTTTCAGGTGGTTTCTGCTGTACAGCCTAAGGGAATCAAAGTCAGCAAAGATCAGGATGCAAACAAAGAAAACAAGAGTGAAAAGGTATTTATTTCATTTAATGCTACACCCAAATTTTACGAAATAACAAGCGTTGTAACTGTATGATGAGCCCCAGTGAAGACTGAAGTGAAATTTGAAGTGCTTTGTTGAAATATCTTTGATTCAAGTACCGTTTGCCAAATTTCTGCCAAATGCAAGGCAGGTTTCTGATTAATGTTCTGTGGTCTCCCCTGGTGCTGAAACCCTGCACTTATTACAGCTCTTCGTTGGCATTTTTCTGGAAGTACCTGTCTTGCTCCATAGGGAGGCAAATTGATTCTCCTTGTGCAGTGGAAATAGAGAAATAATAACATGTAACAAATAATATCCTTAATGTGAGGCTGCCTGAAATTCAGTAAAATCATGTTATAGGATAATTAAATCAGCTAGGTCTCTTATGTTTCCTATTGCTGTGTAAAACAAGGAAATGACCGAGTGATCTGTAGCTGGCCTGCTAATTGTGAAGCAATTACTGCGCAGGAACTTTTGAAAAACCTCACAGCAAATCTTTTAAAAAGGAAAAAAATATGTTTAATATAAACCACGATTTTTGTCACTAGAAAAAGGGGAAAGAATATCTTTTCATTCCCAGCCAGGTTGCTCTAGTGGCCTAAGTTATTTTCCTTGATGCCTTGTTCCTGGGAACTGTGCTTACGAGTGTAGGTCAGGTACAACTTTGAGGGTATCTGGACTGGGGGAGCAGAGACAGAATTAGTGTGGATGATAACTTTTGCTTGGTGTGGTTTAAATGTCAGCTATGAATATGGTGAAGTTTTGGTTTGATCCAACTCCATGTAGTGTTCGCTGTACAACCGAGAAGGCCCTCGGACTCTGAAAGTGTTTTTAGGACTTGTTTCAGATCCTGTCAGATATGGATGCTGTGAGGCTCAGTTATTCCAAAAAATCAAGAAAGGTGTTGAAGTTGTGCTTTCACGCCAGTGAATAACGCTTATAATGAAGCAGTTACAGTCCCTTTTTCGTGGTTTTATTGTTTGTATTTCTAATCTGAGAAATGCTCATGCACTTGCCATGTATTGCCTTTAATCTCTAGGACTCCGGCGTGTCGCTTTCTGTAGCATTTGGAGGTTAAAGAGGGAACCTAATCTTTTTCAGACCTTTTTCGTCTACTGGTCCTGTAAACTGGTGGGTGGAATATAGAAGACTTTCATTGCCTACATACATAGCTCCTTTTTAGCTTTGAACATTAATTCACAAAGCAGCCACACTGTGCTGCAGTAAGGGCATCTCTGAGTTGGAAAGATTTGCTATTAGTGGATTACTAGTCTGCTTCCCTATGGGAAATCACTGATATTTCCAGTCCTGTCTTCAAAGTGGCACAAAAGAATTGGGTTTGAAAGCGACCATATCGAGCTGAAAAAACTGCCTGTTCCTGTGTGATGAATTATCTTTTCAATACTGAAGGTTTTTCTACTTAAACACTTAAAACAATTGAGCTTCTTATCGACAGATACTGAAGTTATTTTGCTGTTTGGCTGTTTTAAGCTGTGCTTTTGCCTTTGTGCTGGAAGGAGCTGTGCTAATTCAAAACCATGGTGTAACAGGGTGCTACAGCACAATTTATACACCTGGGTTTTCAGTGGGCAAGAGAAGCTTGACTTTCTGAGCCATAGCAAGCTAATGGATAAGCTTGGGTGTCTTGTGTAATTTCACACGGATTTTCTACCAAACGTTTAAGGTCTTACAAAGACAAAGGGTCAGATTTTAGACTCTGAGTTGTTGCTAAATTGCAGTGATACTGGTTTATCATAGGCAGCTGGAAGCAGGGCTGCAGGTTTTCCATCTTTACCTGCTGGTAACACAGAACAGGAGTCCTCGGAGATTTCTTGGGCCTTCTGGATTTTGTACAGTTCTGCCTCTACTGGGATCAAACAAAAAGCAGGCAGCTTGTTTGGTGTATTGTGTACTTAGGGGAAACAGCTGTCATGTCTCCAAGTGCTCTTACTATACACTTTAACTACCATTGGCTAGAAATCATTTCATTTATTAATGTTATGCTGCCTTCAGTGCAGCATTTTTCTGTAATGCTTTTTTTAAACCAATGGGACAATGCCAGTCTTAGGATCTCAAAAAATGCACTATGTAGCCAGTATTGCAGCTGGCTACTTACACTATTCTGTGCAAGTTTAGGCTTGGGAGTTTAGAAACCTATATGCAGGTTTAGCTTTCGTCGTACACAATGGAAAATTTGATTGTAGGTTTGGTGTTTGGGTGCTGAGATGTAATTCCTGGCTATAGCAGAAATTCATCACAGCGTTCTGGCTGCCCTAATGGCGTAACGTACTCGGTGTTCCCTTTCTAAAGTGCATCCTGCTATTAGTAGTGGGGTTGCATGGGATACACTTGAATGTAATTTAGTGAAACCGTATAGCAAACTAAGGCACTCTCCTGTTACCCTCAGCTATAAAAACACTTGTTCAGGCGAACAAGCAGCTGTTTTCATTAGATTCTGAGCCTATTCCTTACGCCTGTTATGCGCCGCTATATGCATCATTATCGGAGCTGCCTGTATTTATGTGAGGTAATAGAATTTTATTGTAAGTTATAATTCAAATTATGTTTTAAATTTTAGCCAGAATGGAGGTGAAATATGTCTGAATATGCTTGTAGCTGCATTGAGTTCTTGCTTTGTATTTAAAAGTTTGTTGACTGCAAACGGTACGGGGATATTTTGTTGTCAAGCATTTCTAATGAAAAATGGGGTATAATTTAATGTTTATTTTTAACCCTTGATTAATGCTCATACTTTCATGTTTATGGTACACAAGTGTTTTGTCAACAACTGTGCGTGCATGGCTGTATTTTCTTTCTTCGGGTTCAGTGTTTCTTCTTGTTCTGATTTCTTGCACAGAAAGGATATCCTGCAGATTTTAGCTTTGTAATTAAGTGCTGTGTATGTACACATGTAGCTAGGGCTTTTTTTCTTGTGCACGGAGGATGCAAAGCATGTAATTATTTTATTTTGAATCCATTAGAGAAAGTATGGGGCTCCACCTCCGATGAAATTGCCGCCTCCTTATAGAGCACGTGAAAGATTGCCCTCAGAAGAAGCTAACGTGGATGAAGAGGAGGAAGAGCCTTCTGCAGAGAGTGAGTAGTGCTGCCATTGTCACGTCAGGTTATGTTTGTGGGACACAGTTGGATTATGTGATAAAAGTATCTGCCATTTTCTGCTTGTGTTATGGAAGTGGTGCTGTGTGGCAATAAGCTCTAATCCTCAAACCTGTTCTTACCAAGGGCTACTGATTGAAACTTAGATGGTCTTCTCTTACCAGCCAGGCTCCTATAGCTCCCTTCTGTAACGAGATGTAATCTGTTTTGTCTCAAAGTTTCTAGGTGAGGTCTAGAGGGCTTGCTTTGGCAGTGCTGTCAGCAGTGGAAGGCAAAAGTTATGCTTTACCATTGGAATTGGGGTGGCAGTTGAGCAGGCCTAGGTTGAGAACCACAGGTGCATAGTCCTCACCCTAAAAAGCTGCAGTTGATTTCTGGCATTGCTGTTCATATTAAATATTTGCCTTTAAAAAGAAAATTTTGCTAATTTGTTGATTCAGTGCTGTTCAGAGAGAAACTCCAATTTTTGTAGTGTCTTTTATGGGAAAGGTTCTGCAGCTCTTCAGCCTGTTTTGTTTATGCAGGGAATTGCAATGATTATCACTCTGCAATCATTTAGGGACCTAAAAAGTAGAATGTAGTGCAATTTGAGAGCTTCCCACAGCATGACTGAGATTCCAGGATACTGCTTTGTTAATTCCAACGCTGGATAAATGGGATATTATTATCCATAGCTTGTCTTCCAATAAAATATTTAGGGATATTAAAGTTGCAGTTAGGAATCCTAAATTAGTATTTAATGAGTCACTTTGATATATTTATTTTTTTTTTTTACACGCTATTGTACCAAAACAGCATACATGCTTGCTCTTTTTGTTTGTTTGTCTGTTTTTTCACCTCATCTTGTGCCTTGGAGTGTTATTTCCCCCAGTATGGGTAAGACAAAGCAGAGGGATGCTGTGGTCACTTTTGACCTTGAAGCAACTGTGGCTCCCATTCAGAGTGGGATTTCTTCTTCCTTGCTGGCAGTGGTGTGCCATTGAAGCAGAGATGATTAATGAGATGGGTTAGTTTGTCACTCTTAAGGTCTTATTGGTGGGGATGAAAAAGATTTTGAAATGTATTTCTCATGGAAACTGTGATGAGGGCACAGAAGCAGGGTTTTCATCTCAGCGTCTGTTAATTTAAGGGAAAGTTGGTAGTTCTTGAACCAACTGAGATTTTTCCAGAATGTTTTTACTGAGTTTTCCATCTTATCTGTTTGCTGTATGCAAGTTAGTTACCTCAAGAAGGTATTTTTGTATTTTGGGGAGTGATAGTCACAAGGAGCATTTCACTACAAACTCAGTGAATGTCAGATTGAATGTATCCCGTACTTCTAAACCACCTCTGCTTCTAAAACACCAATTGTAGCAAACTGATTTCAGCTTGTTATTAATTATTTATAATTCCCAGTTAAGGATTAGATTTGATAACTAGCCTCATACCCAGTTATGTAATTAGGATCTTCCTCTGTCAGTGTGCCTGATAGACCTAAGTTAATACTTTGCACAGAAGTAATTTCTTATTAATGGGCTTGATCATTTTTAGCTGTTCTGCAGTTCCTAATGATCTTGCCAGCTGAGACCAACAGCTGAAAAGGTAAAGCTACTAATACTAAATTCATCAATCTTAGCAGATTTGGCAGCAGCAAGCAGATCTGTTCAGATGACTCTCCTTCTCTCTACCTTTTTTAGTCACTGAAGTTGAATGTTTTGCTGTAACTGTCTTTGCCACGAATCCTGGAAAACCAAGATATGCATTTACCACTTTATTCTTCCCCATCTAATTCTGTTTTTTTGAAAATAAAAATCAGACTATGAAGTCTTAAACTGAATTTGTACCTCAACCTTTGAAGCATGTTAGATGCTTAACAATGGTATTAAGCATCTTGGCAGCTGTGGAATGAGTTTTACAGAGTCTGTTTTCTGTGATCACTTGAAGAAGTCCTCTCTCTAAGTTCCAGTACAGTGGTATTTATGTGATTGACTTAATGTTGTTGAATTTTATCTGGATTTTTGAGCACCATTCCCAGAAATCTCAGTCCAGGCCTGTACCTGCCCTTTTAACAATGTCTATTTGTTATTTAACATTTTCATATTGGTCCATTCCTTACCCATTTAGTCTACTAGCTCTACTGTTTTTGTACATTTAACGAATTATTTACTGAGCTTCACTGAACAATAGGTGAATTACATTTCTTGTTTTCTCTATTTAGAAGATTCAGGTATCTTAAAAGGCATAAATGTTGTCTCAGGTAAATTCACATCATAGTCCCTCCTTCCTTCATTTACTTTCCGTGGTTCTCAGTCTGTGCCAATAGTGTAGAAGGTCTTAGGAGGTGTTTTGAGGTGGGACAGCTGTTAAAGCTATGCACTCTGGTTGTTCTCCTCGTGGATATTTTATTTTTAGCATTCTTATTAATGTAACTTCAGTGTTGTGAACCTACTCATCAATTTCCTTCATACTCTGGAAGTAGTTCACTTGGTATACTTGATGTTTTTTTTCCTTGCTTGTCATTTGTTCCATCCCATCCTCCCATCTTTTGCCTCATGCTCTTCATCATTCCCCATATTGAAAACGAAAACAAATCACTGTAAGTCTTCCTACCATAACAGAGAAAATTTTTCTTTCCTTTCTGTCCTGTCCATATGGCATCGCAGTCTCCGTGTTTTGTCTGTTTTCTCTTTAAGGTGTCTGAATAACCTTTTGGTATTGATTTAATTTCCCCTGTGGGATCTAAATCCACTTGCCTTTTGGCAGTGCTCCCTTTTACCTCTGCTTTTCCAGCACTGCAACTGTAGCATTCATTGCTGACTTGTAGCCGTTATTTCTTGTAAATGTTCTGCCTTTTCATTTCAGAGGAGGTTTTTGATCCAAATAGGGTGAATCCTTGCTGGATATAGAACTTCTGCATAGTTCATGGTTTAGAGAAACCCCATACATCCTCCATGTTTCTGTGATTTAATTGCTGAACCCTGTTAACTTTGCAAAGGAGGTCCAGCATTTTATTTATTTATTTTCAGATGTCTTCTTGTATCCAAGGCCCTTAGCTTCAGACCTGCTTCACCTTACATTTCAGGTTAATTTGAGCCACCACTACCTCCAAGATCATTACAAGTTCCCAAATAGTGTTTTGCCAGATTTTGAGGGCAAGTTGAAAATGTTATTTCCTCTTGTTCTGTTATTTTTCTTTCTAGTGATGCTGTTGAATCTTTGTCAGCATTCAGCTCCAACTGTGTAGTGTGCTTCTTGTTTACTTTTTCCTTTGACTATGCTGTATTGAAGTGTTAACTGGAAGCCTTAAGATAGTTTTGTAAAACTTGAAGCACGTCAGCAGGAATGGTAGTTACATTGGTAATAGCTGGAGAAGGAAGACCAAACTTACAGGACTTGTAGAAGAATTTGTTTCATTGCTTTCTTATTTAACTCTTGGTCAGATCAGCTTATTAATTCTTAATTCTGCTGCAAAAAAAGAGCCTTCAAAATGCTTCATCCTATAGACCCAGAAATATTACAATGTAAGTTCAGAGTTTTTTCCTCCCCATATTAGAAAGTCCATAAGGAAGAGTTAATAACTGTTAATAAGAGTTAATAACAGAGGTTATTTTGGAGGACGTCACTTTCCAAGAAGATTTTTTTAAGGTTTCCGAAAGCTTAAAAACATCACGTTTTGAATAGGATTAAAAAAAATGAAAACAAGTAAGAGGAGGGAAGAGCACACAAAGAAGCTATTTGTACTGGCAAGCAGCTGTGCTCCAGGCTGTGTCAATAGGCAGGGGTGTGTTTTCCTTCGGTGGCGGATGGCTGTAGGTGTGCGCTAAGGCTCTGCTAATAGACTAATGTGCACCCTGGTGTGGCTTATTGCAGTAATGAGGGGTTAGTTGTAAAAAGAAGTGGAGGAAATGGATGGGCAGAGGAGTTGGTAATGGAATGTTTTGTAAGCTTTTCTTTGGGGCATTCCTAACTGTACAATTTAGATATTTTTTTGTGATAGAGTTGAAGCAATCATAGGTAAAGACCTTAAAAATATATAGAAAACTAAAGAGACATCTGCTGAAAGAACTTGGCCCCCTTAATTTCCAGAGATATTTTATTTTTTGGTAAAACTCCTTGTCTAGTTAAGAGACTGAGATTGATCTGGTTGGTTTCAAATAAGTTTAAAATAATAAAAATAGATAAAAATTTGTGAAAGGTGACTTAGATAATGGACTAGATGCTTCTATGCTCAGACTTCCTGTCTGCAGGGATATTTAACTGTATCTAATAAGGGGGTAATAATGCCCCCCTCCTTCTATTTTGTCTGTAGATAATGCAAAAATCAATGAAGCTGTAAGAAAGCATAATGATTAATCTTCTTAAAACGCTTTTGAGGAATGGTGGCTTCTCTACCAAAAGAAGAGATTTTAAAACTTCTCTAGTGTTTTGACCCTGCATTTCCCATCGTGATAAATCTGTGGCTGCTTAGGGTGGAACGGGTGAGTGCGTGTGGGGGTTGGTTCACACAAACCCACTCTGCCCATTGCCCACTTGGGGTTGGGTTGGTGTTAGAGAGCACATGGGTATGGCAGCAGAGCACCCTCACCATTCAGACCCAAGGCTTTTAGCAGCTTCCATACGGTCACAGATGTCCGTACTGCAGCGTGAGGATGAGGGCTTCCATTAAAAACAACAGGTAAAGTGCAATAGAGCTCAGCTGAGATGTGACAGAGGGTATGGTCAAGTATGTGGGGTGTGAAAATATGACCTCAGGAAGTCTCTGTGTCCTGTTGGGGGTGAAGATGACAAAGCTATCACTGTCACTTTAGAAAAACACCAGAGTTATTAACAGTAACTAAATAAAAACAAAGAAACATTAATAAATCAATTTAAGTCTTGAGAATCTGACATTATGTAAAGCAGTGCTACAACAGAGGAGAAGCAATTTTGAATTTCATTTTAATTTGGGGGGGAGGGTGAAGAAAACAACCCCAAACCTGGGATCTTCAGGTGAGGCAGCT